CTACAGTAAGACCCTCCAGCCCTTCAGATCCTGTAACTGGAAATGAGTCCTTTCTTTCAGTCAAACTTACTCTCTTCTCTTTGTGGATATATATATATATATACAGTATATCAAAATGGAGTTGTCCACAGGTAGCATTTAAAAATAAATAATAATTATAGAAATACTGTATATACACTCTATATCCAACCACTGAGAGACAGGAGTAAGTTTGACTGAAAGCAAGGCCTCATTTCCAGTTACAGGATCTGAAGGGCTGGAGGGTCTTACTGTAGACTTAAATCTTTTAAAATATGTCAAAAAATAATTTTGGGCGAACTAATGGGGGAAGTAAGTATGTATGTATGTATATATATGTGCGTGTGTGTGTGCGTGCATGCGAGCGAGTGAGTGAAATGTGGTCTTTTTTAAGCAAAAGACCTTTAAAGAATTTGTAAAAATTAGTCATTTAAATATACTGTAATTCAATTTCAATTCAATTCAGTTTTAATTTGAAATGACTTTTTGTTGTTTAAGAATAAAATCAAATCTGGTCAGATCATGAGTTCTCCCAAAGATTTTTTTTAATTTCTTTATCTTTTTTTTTTTTGTCTTGTTTTTTTAATAAAAGAGGTGAGCCTGATTGTGAATATTAATTATATGAATGCTACTTGCTCTGTTTAGTGAAATACTTTTCTGAACTAACGTTAATAATGTGGCTTCAGATGCTGCTGGGTTTGTTAGAAAGGCTTTGTGTCCTCTGGGTGTCCGAGGGGATTTAACCTGTAGGAACTTGGAGGTAGAGCTGAGTAGGAGAATGTCTGTCCTCCTCCTCTGATTACAGATTAGGAGATGTGCTAAAGATTTGTCCTTATGTAACAGATGAGCTGAAAATGTAGGTCTGGACGAAGACAACAACTGTTGTCAGCAGTCCATCAGACGGTACATATTTTTACATGATATTTTGCGTTTTATTCTAGCTAAATACAATTTTAAACTTGTAGGATTTTTTATTTATTTGTAAATGACTGCAAAATCCAAACCCAAATGTGAACACCCTGTAACACATCCTGGTTGTGTGCAGTCCACACCTTCCTTCTCCAGCAGCAACACTTCTGATTCAGTGAGGTGTTGGTCCAGTCTCATGTTGCTGCTCACCCAAGGTCTGCATGATTTTATGTTCAAATCAGCACCAGTTTAGATGAAAATCTAATCTGTTGTACAGTCTCAGCTGTTTTACTATCAACTGTCCGGTTCTAAACGCAGACTGTCATGGAGCAACAGTGGCTTATGTTTGTTCTCCAACAAGAGAGTGGGGGGTTCAATTCCCCCTCATTGTCTCAGATGTGTGTCCTCTCTGCGTCTAAATGTGATCTAACTACATTCCATTTACTATTCATGCTTTTGTAGAATAAAACCCAAGGATGCAAACTCTGAAAGATTTAAAATAAAAACGTAGAAATCCGACAAGGCAGCAAAAATACAGACACAGTGGAACAAAGTTGTAAGTAACACAGGAGTCTAAGTGATGAATGAGTACAGTAGGAAGGGGACCCCATCTCAGTCTAATGAGTACAAGGAACAGGTGTGAGATGAGGGGGGACTAAGGATGACTGATGATACTGGGAAACAAACTGAACACAAGGAAAAATACAGTAAATAAACAAGAATACAACAAATCAGTACACAAAAAAATAGTTATGAAACAAACATTCTTGATTTATTTATATAACATAAAGTTAGTTCTACTGAAAACTCCCTATAGGGCTGACTTTAGTCATTTCTGGCTTTACACCAAGAAGCACTGCTGATGGAGCAGCCAAATGGATTTAAAACCCCATTTGTTATCTGTGCTGTTATTCACTGTTGCTTTAATCCCACACCATCCTACCTGGACTCTCTTCTTCACCTCTTTACCACAGTCCCAATTTTTCTGGACAGTGGACTCCAAGTTCTTGAAGTCCTGCACCTTTGTGACCTCTGCTCCTTGTAGCCTCACTGTTCCACCGGCCTCCCTCTCATTCACACACATGTACTCTGTCTTACTACGGCTGACTTTCATTCCTCTTCTTTCAAGTGCATATCTCCACCTCTCCAAGTTCTCTTCCACCTGCTCCCCGTTCTCACCACAGATCACAATGTCATCTGCAAACATCAAAGTTCACAAGGATTCCTTCCTGACCTCATCTGTTAGTCGGTCCGTCACCAGATCAAACAAGAAGGGGCTCATCCTTGATGCAATCCCACCTCCACCTTGAAGCTACCTGTCAGTCCTATGGGGCGGCTTTGGTTGAGTGTTTCCAGGGGGGTAAATTATTTTTGTCACATTCAGTAAGATCAACAAGTTGTTTCCTAAATCCCATCAGACATTTGCAGCTCCTTTGCATGTTTCTGCTACAGTTAAAATATGTAAAAACGTGTAGATAACTGGGGGAGAGTGCTGTCCTCATGTTACTCTGACACTCTTTTAGTTTGGAGTTTAACTTGCTTTAAATAAAATTAGACCTTATTATCCTGGTTCCTTTTTTGCAGCTAACAAATTTTTTTGTTTCTTATTTTACAGATTTTTTGTAGAAGGTATTAAGTTTTTATTGTTACTGAAGTCAAACAATAATCTATGGATGACGTCTGTTAGTCTGTGTGCATGATTTAACAAAGTGAGGAAACAGTTTGAATCTGCGTGCATGCTTCATTGGAATGGATTTCTATAAACACACCTCCAGTTCTCACTGTTGTCCTGTTTACACAAAAACAGGCACACAAAAACTGGACTGTGCGGCTCGCTGATCACTTGCATTGAAACTCAGAATTCTGACAGACTGAAACCAAAAACTGGCCATGAGTTGTGAACAGTTGCAGCCCGGTGAGATCCTGGCTTTAGTTTCCATCCTGCAGCCTCTGAGCTCAATGTCCTTGTTCCCAGGACCCATCCAATGAGGGTGTAGCTTTTGTGTTTAGTCACTTCAAATCTAAAACATGGCTCTGGGATCTTGTTTTGCAGGTCCTGCTGGTATTTGCCAAGGAGGACAGTCAAAGTGATGCTTTCTGGTGGGCCTGCGACCGCGCTGGCTTCAGGTGTAACATTGCACGGACACCAGAATCTGCCGTCGAGTGTTTCCTGGACAAGCACCACGAGATCATTGTCATTGATGGGCGTCACTCACTCTACTTCGAGCCTGAAAATGTGTGTCGGTGAGTCGTGAGCCCCCAAAAGTATGTTTGTCTCCTGAGAGACAGAGACATTGGCTTGGTTGGCGCCACCTGGTGTTTAATGAGAGCAGCACAAGAGTCAACGACCACAGATAAAACCTGAGACTACGTGATGTTCTACTCTCTTGCTCTGTGTGTGTGTGTGTGGGGGGGGGGGGGGGGGGAGACACATTTTAATTAAATAAATGTTGGATGCACATTTACAACTGGTAAACTTTTGGAGTGACCCTACCTTTAAACCACATCCTACAACTTAGTTTTGTAGATATGTATGGACATTTACATTTTACTGGTGCTGGGAGCTGTGTGAACATGAATAGTTAAATGTTTTACATAACTCTGTGGTTTATGAACACAAAGAGACGACGTCATGTAAAACTGCAGTTAGCTTCAGATAAAAAGCGTCCCGAGTTCATGTTGACAGCATTTAGTTTATCTTTGCTTTAGCAAGTTTTTCAAACCGTCTCATTATGTTATTAAAACTCGTCCACTAATCTTCATTACAAAAAACCGTAGCAACAAAAATACAGAACCAACAGCTGTAACAAAGTTGATTACTTCGTGGCTGTCAACATTTCCTGGTTCTTCACCTCCACACGACAGCATTATTGATCACTCTCGATCATCGTTGTGCACCGCAGTGTTTCGTCCATCAGGTATTTACTGGGTCACATGACTGAAAACTATCCATAGTAACCAAATGTGATTTTCAGAAATACTGGATATATCCGGACAATGATTTTGTTTTTGTTGCACTAAACTATAAAGTAATGCTCTTCCCGGACTTACAGTTCTGTAAAGCATCACCCACTGACAGGCCAACCCATCGGTCCTCTGATTGGATGGTTAAATTTGTGATTAACGTGACGTCAACCATCAGCTGAGAGGAGGAAAAATCTGGTCATAATTCGTACTCGCAAATTGAAACTCACAGGCAGAATTTTACACAGTTTTTTTTATTTGTATCTGTAGACAGGGCGGCTGCGGCTGAGTGGTTAGAGCAGTCGTCCTCCAATGCAAGAGTTGGGGGTTCGATTCCACCAACAGTCACATGCCGAAGTGTCCCTGGGCAAGACACTGAACCCTTCGTTGCCTGTGTGTCCCATCAGTGTATGAATGTGATCTCTTTAGAATGATTTGTTCAATTAGCTTTGTAGAGATCTAGTATAGAGCTGTATGAATGGGTAAATGAGGACACAGATTGTTGTAAAGAGCTTTGAGAATCTTGATCAGATAGAAAGGTGTTGTATAAGTACAGTCCATTTACCATTTAAACTGACCTTTGCAAACAAGATATGGAACATGTGCAAATATACAAACACAGATCACATTTACACATACAAATTCCTATTTACGCATGCACAACTACATTTATTTTACAATTTATTTATTTTAAAAGTTTACAAAACTAGTTTACAAGTGCAAAATATTTATGATCACAATTTGTGCTCATAGATATTGATATTAAGAGTGGTGTGGTAGTAGCTGAGAGTCATCCCAACCCAAGCTTTAACTGATTGCACAAGATTGTTAACATTTTGCTTTTAACTACAATACTTGGAGTCTTCAGTCCTGTCTGTCTGTTAGCAAAATATCTCATGAACAACTGGAGAGAGTTTAATGAAAGTCTCAGAAACTAATTGTTGGATGTTCATTTAGAACTGTTGAATTTTTGAAGTTCAAAATGGCCACCATGGCTAGTCAACTCTAGCAACACATACGTGGTTATATTTCAGTCAGGTTTGTAGATACTGAGTTAAAAATGAACATGGTAGTAGTTGAGAGTAGGCCTGTCGTGATAAACAATAAATAAATTAATCGCATGATAAATGAAAATTATCAACTCATTTTCATTTATCAGCTTTATCGTTTCTTCGTGTCTCTCTCTTTGTGCTGAAGACACTTGATGACAAAAGGTTCAACTCCGGTGCTCTTCACTGACCCCTCCTTTTCTCTTTCTCTTTAAAATCCGTCCAAAATCGTGTTTTTGGATCGTTAAAAGCAGCTAAGCTACGAGCTAAGCTAACAGGCCGACCTCAGGAAAAAACCTCCGTCTTGTCGAAGCTCCACAACTCACGGTTGAAACCCGTGCCTTCGTGTAAAACGTTGTTTTTCTCTGCAAAAAGAAGCTGAGAACTTGTTTACAGATTTTTCTAATTAAAGGCTTTGTGTGAAAAATGTTATGCTAAAGAGCTCAAACCACATCGAGCGTCCACCATTTTGAGAACCAAAGCGAGACAGCCCATGTCACGTCAAGGGACCTCCCTCCCATTTTCCCTAAAGAGACACGCTGCTCGCTCCCTCACTATCCATCCTTTAGTTCAAACAGTCTTATACTGCCATCCGGTGGTGAAAAAATGTACTACACAAAAATTAACCAACATTTCTTCTTAAACTTGACAATAATTACTAATTATTGTCAAATTTCAAACAATATATCTGCCACCTTTCATTTTATAATTTTATTTCTTTTGTTGTCTGTATGTTAATTGTTTTGTGGTTTTTTTATTATTATAAAATGAATAAAAATAAATAAATAAAATAAAATAAAAATAAAATAAAATAAAATATTATCGTTTATCTCAATAATTTCTGAGACAATTAATCGCCCAGCAAAATTTGTTATCGTGACAGGCCTATCTGAGAGTCCCTCGGTACACATGCTCTGAGTGAGACTTCTCATTGCATCATGACACTGTTGACTCCTTGCACTGATCTCTCATCGTAAGATGAACTTAGTTTAAAACACGAAAGGTGAAACGAACTCTAATCTAATTCGGTGTTGGTAAAAAAAGACGTGACCACTTACTGTCACGAGTGAGAAGACGCAAATAAAAAGTGCTGTGTGAGTCTGGAAGACAAAGTCTGACTGTTTGTCGACTGGCACCTGAACAGTAGCTCTGAGGAAACCGCTGCAGAAACTTTATTTTGTTTTTTCAGGGTTCTCTGCTCTGACTTGTTATACTGCAGATTTATTATATCTGCTCCCTATTCTCTACCAGCTGGGACGTCTGGATATAAAAAAAGGTTGTAAGCTCAGTCATCCAGTTAGATGACAACAAAAACAGTTAAATCACGTCATCTGGACCTGTTTCTTTAAGTGACAAATATTTCGTCTTCCATCCTGAAGACTTCCTCAGTCTGTGGCATGCCAACCAGATCTGTCCCATAAGTAGCTTTCACTGCTGTGTTTCAAACCATCCTCCTGTTGGAATCTCAGAAGCATTTAGCACATGCAAAAGGACCCATCCACCCAAAACAGTCAATCATCATGTACAACAATCAAATGTTTTAGACAGAAGGCCAACTTGCTACTCACAGAAACAGCCTGAGGACAACCAAGGCCAAAACGGTTAAAAAAAAGGTTTGTAGGCTCAATCATCCAGGTGGATAACAGCATAAAAGCTTAGATCATGTCATTTGAACTAGTTTCTTTAAGGGAGACATGTTTGGACATCTGTCCCCTCTTGATCTCTGGTCTTTGTGAGCATTTGATGATTTCCATCCATCATCTTTTACCCGCTTCTTCCTTTTTGGGTCACGGGGGTCACTGGTGCTCATGTCCAGCCATCACAGTGTGAGAGGCGGGGGACACTCTGGACATCACAGGGACACATAGAGACAAACAACCATTCACTCTCACTCACACCTAGAGACAATTTAGAGTCACCAATCAGCCTAACATGCATGTTTTTGGTCTGTGGGAGGAAACCGGAGCACCCGGAGAAAACCCACGCATGCACGGAGAGAACATGCAAACTCCACTCAGAAATTCCCCGGACCAGGATTTGAACCAGGGACCTGCTCGCTGAGAGGCAGCAGCTCCACCAGTTGTGCCGCTGTGCTGCTCGCATTTGACGTTTTCTTTAGGAGGCATTTTTAAACTCTGATATATTTCACTGTTTCCCGTTCATGGCAGGTTTTCCAGTTAAATTTGAAGCATGTTGGTTTTAATATGAATTCTGTTCCTGGAGTTATTGCCAGAGTAAAGACACCGATTAATGAGGAGAACTAATAGAAGCTGAATGATCTCTGCCTTTTTGACATTTCTAAACAGATCTCTTTTCTCGTTATTTTCACCCAGAACGTGTCTGTAACTTTCAGTGACACGTTGAGTTTTCCTGCGGAGTTTGAGCTTCTCTGATTGTCGTGTTGAGCAGTCCAAGCTCTGCACCGGGGCCGCCGCGTGTTATCTTGTGTGGTTTATGGTGTTTAAACCAGACGTGTTCCTCCTGTCTTCTTCTTCCCACAGTTTGGCAGCTCCTCTCTGTCTCCCTCACTTCTTGCCATCTTGTTGTGCGCTGCCATGCTGAACACGCTGTGTGCTTCTTTTTGTTTTTCAGGATGATACGTGCCACACAACCATCAGAAAACACGGTCCTGCTAGCTGTTGTGCCACAGAAGTAAGCTTGAAAATACTTGATGTGTTTTATGGATGTTTTGTTTATCAGGAAAATTCATTGGATAAAAAAAGATACAAATTCAGGAGTTAAAGACCCAGAAAACTTTGAAGACTGTGTTTTAAATTGTTTGTAGTTTTATAAACAATTAAAGTGTAAAAAGTGTCATTTAACCAGAGTTTAGAACTCAAACCTTTTACTGTAAAACATATGGTCTAGATACATTTGTGCTTATTTGAGAAACTATTAAAGTCACGCTGTCTTCCTGTCATACATCTTGGAACCTGTTGTTGCTACAATAACTGATAGTTGCAGGTAAATCATGAACCTCCACCTCACTTACTGCTCAGGGACACGTTACTATTCTGTTTATTTATTTATTTGTTGTTATTTTATTCATTATTTAGGACTTTTTTTATTTTTTTTATTAAAAGGATGACTGAGGAAACAAGTTTCTGTAAAAACTAGTGTTTCTTTCATGCTGTGGGTGTGAAGCTTCATGTTTAAGAGAACGGGGTGAAAATAATTCCTTTCTGTCGTTCCACAGACTGTCGGACCAAGAGGAGCCGTCTGTTCTTCCATTACTGTGTGCTGGATTCAGCAGAGTACGTCCAGACACGACTGCTGAACAACTGCTGAATGACTGCTGAGTACCTGCTGTATGACTGAAGAATGACAATTGAATGACTGATGAATGACAGCTGAACAACTGCTGAATGAATGCAGA